CCCCCCCCCGCCCTTCTTTTCCTCGGCAATTCTGAGTGACATTTCCTTCACAGGTGGCCTGGCAGGGATAATAGCTCTAGTAAAACTGATGAGTATGTTATATCTCTATATTGCTACATGTATTCATAATAGAATAGATAGTTTTGATGGAAATGTGCTACATGTATTACACCGAATCTGTATATTTGAAGAATTTTTCCCCGTTAATGACAAATCTACTAGAAATTATAGGGAAAGAATGGAGCCACTAATAGTATATTCGGGGATATCATACAAGTGTTTAAAATACGTCGACAGTAACATATATCTTACTCATTCCATATACTTCGATTGGGGGATTTAAAGGGGATGTTGGGGAGGATGTCCGCAAACACCCCTACACCCCCCCCCCCCTCACACAATTACACACAGAAACACACTAAAAATTCTTATAATACATCTTAATTTTGTTTGTATAAGACTCTATTAATAAAGTGTGAACAAAAGCATGTGTGGCTTTTGATATTTTAATAGAGAAACTTACGAATTTCACCGAGTATACCGGAGCATTTTTCCTGGTGGGGGTAGGTATCTAGAATTTTTTATTTTAATATTTAATATTAAAAAGGGGATCGTTATCCAGTATCATATAAAATCGCTGGGGATTTATAGATATTTTAACAGAAATCCATTTGCTATTTGCTAAGGCACCTGTATAAACGATAAGAAGTCCCCCCCCCCCCCGTTCCAGTCAATCCACTTCTCGTTAGTTCTAGATCATACACAAATCAATCGATAAAAGGGTTCAATACAAATACATTTCGTGGGCAGGTGGGGTATCTCAAATAAACGGATTATCTACAGTATATTTACATGTACATCAAGTACTAACTATCATATTGTATTACATGTACATCAAGTACTACTATATCAATGCTGTCTTGTGGAGAATCGTTGTGCCTTACCAGGGTTCGAAATTCACTATGTACTACTCGCAAAACGCGAGTTATAATTCCTAAATTGCGAGTTAAAAATTAGGTAACTCGCAAAAAAGTGCGAGTTGAGTTTTTTGCATTCAAACTGTAGCAAAATTATATAATATGACAGAACACAGTGCTTTTGATTTAAATCAGTAATTTAACAAAAAGTCACACTGTAGTTGTATTTAGTGAATTGTACAGTAGTTACTTTTTCCTTAAGTTACATGTATTTAATTTAATTTATATCAATTTAACTTTATACGAAAATTGCGAGTAGTCTTATAAAATTGCGAGTTCACTCTCTTGGTACTCGCAATTATTTGCGAGTTGTAATTTTAGGGAGTTTCTAACCCTGCTTACACCTGATTAATCAGTAATAATTTGTTTATAGTACACAAAGACTTCAAACTAATGTTTTCCACAGTTTAACTCTTTATTACTTTTTTTTTATTGATTCATTTGTAAGATTTCAATGATCTGTGACAAATTATTGAGGGTGACGTCACAATGGCTTGAAAACTCTCGATTTGCACACTAAATATGCACCTCTTAGCTGGAGGTGAAACAAGTGGGCGGATCATGGATCTTCAATTTTCAAAGACCGATTTCTGTACTAAAGACATTCCAGTTTCCTTTCCTCTTGTGAAATTTAATTACCTGGTTAAAGGAGAACTTTTTGCAAACAATTAAAAGTACGTGTGTTGAACAACAAAGACAGTATGCCTTATATTACGCACAATGCTTAATCGCCATTTTGCTTTAGAAAAGTTCGGGAAAACAGTGTACCTGTGACGTCGTATTTTACGACTGTGACGTCGAGTAGTGGTTGTCTGCATTAGGAAGCTGCTGTAAATTTGGTAGTGTTTACATCGCTGCGTTTTTCTGGGCGTTTCGTTGGATTTAAAAGTTGTTACGGTTGTGAAAACATATGTAGGTGTGTGCAGTTGTCGTGCTGAATACGCATCGGTATGTATTTTCGTTTGCTGCGAGTCATTTCTTTAGTCGGGTCTTCATTCATGGGGACTATGAAGCCGTGCGTTGTTGGCAATGTTTAATGGATATCTACAACTCGGAAGGAACGTTCTGCGATAACAGTGGAGTCGTAGGATAATTTAATGACGGACATTCGATGGATTATTTTAATATCGCCGTCTGATTGCAGAAAACTGCAGAATTTAGCGAGAAAATAATGACGCGTGCGCAGATGGGGGTTAGTCGTTTTTTGATGCCAGGCATCGACTAACCCCCATCTGCGCATGCGTCATTATTTTCTACAGATACAACACTAGAACACCAGATACACTGCATAAAAGACATTTACCCTAGAAATAATAATTATGACTGAAAATAAACAATAAAAATATGAAATTGGAACACAATAAAAACATGAATGAATAAAAATAAACAATAATTCAATTATATTAGCTTCTTATATACACACTTACCCATTTAGACAGTATCTACTACAGTGAAAACTGATATTTCAAGCAAAACTAAGTTAGTTTTCAGGCACTACACCTGATTTCAAAATTTTCTGAAAATCCGAGATTTATAATTAGTCTAAGATTAAATAATTCCCTGTTTTATATGTATAGTGTTTAAACTTTACTGCTGCACACTCTTTACAATGACCAACAGCATACATAAATGGTCATCTATGTTATAGATTTTGATCATTTAAACTGCAACACTGAAAAGAGACTGAATTGTGCAACAGAAAAACATAGAAATTGCACTTCACATTGTCCCTGCCCATTTACAGGTTCAACTAAAAATTAAAACTGCATCACGTGCATACTAGTATATGTCTACTCTTTCTCCCATCTATCAGCATTAAGAAAATGAAGAATTTCAATACTCAATATCAAGATCTGTGAAATTCCCCTAATACACAGGATTTCCAAAGCATAATTTTGCTGTGAGGCAAGGTACATGAAGTTCAACATATCGATGAAAAAAAAATCAATTTTTAGTGCACAGAGTGCCATCTGCAATCAAGTTTAGGAGCAGTCATATTGAACAGTCAGTCAGAATCAGCACAAGTCTGAAGGTGACAGATTATTAAATTTGCTACTATTTGTCTATTAAATATTATATTTATAAATAAATCTACTGTCAATACATGTATTTACTAAATACATTAAATCAGATATAGAGCTCGATCAACACTTGCAATGTCATTTCCAGCCTAACTGGACAACCTGAAATTACATCTGGTTTTGCCCAAAGGATGGGTTCAAATGTACATGTATATGTGTTACTGGGAGTACTAATGCACTTTATGATCTTAACAGGCTCCAGGGAGAGCATTAGCATGGGTTAATTTATTATAATTAATTTAAAATATAAGAAAGAAAAACAAATAGGTTGTACACTAGAGGATTCTTTCAGCAACCTAATATTCTTTACTTAGTTAACTTGATGGTAATCCAAAATATAAAGAGTGTTGGGTCTTGGCCCTGGAATTGTGATCATTTTAAAATAGTGTACTAAAGGTCCTAAAATATTGTAAGGTATCATGTGCTATAAATAATTACATCTCAATGTCCCTACCTTGCAATGCACTTGATAACTTTTACACGAATTTACATATTTTCCTGCATATAAGACTGTATGGCATTACATAATTATGTCCTTATTTCAGATAAAACATATCATTACACAGTGGACACTAGCATGCTCATGTTTCTTATCACACTTTTAACACAAATTCTTTTGATAGCATAAGGTACTATGATTTCAGTGAATATCCACCGAAGAATTTCAAAGATATGAAATTATTAAATTCAAGGCAAATTAATACACCCTGTACATAGTGATGCGAAATTGGACTTTTTCATCATCATTAATCGTAATAATCAGACACACTATAATTGATAAATTTTAAGTATCAAATTTGTTTATTTTTGAATGAAGAGTAAATAAGTAAGAAGAATCCAGAATGATTTCTAAAATACATTTTTGATGTATTTTGTATCATTGGATCACTTATGATATCATTATTTAGGATTTAGTTACTTTGAAAGGGAAACGAATCAAGAAATCATAGGAATAATTAACTTTTAACTAATATTTTGGCTAATTGATTATCAAAATTTTAATCGATTATCTATAATCGGGGGTCATTTTAATTAGATATTCAATTTAATCGTTTAATCGGTACATCACTACCTGTACGTATTTTCTTCATTTCTGCAAGAATTCACCATATTTACTGGGGCATTATTATTTACAATAATATGGATATCTGAACTGAAATAGCTTTATTCAGACTGACAAGGTCTTTAACTTTGTCAGTGATAGTCTGACAGTTTTCAAAAAAAAAAAAAAAAAAAAAAAAAAAAAAAAAAAAAAAAGACTTGCGTATTCATCTGAGCATTTATCATAGGCATCAAACAGACTAACCATCCAGACTAACCATCTTATAGCGAGCGCAGTGGGCGGCGCAAGGCGCCGCTCGTCACTGCGAGCTCTAACGACAACGCCTGGGCGAAGAGAAAATTCGGACTACTGCACATTCATTCAATAGAATTTTTTCCACAGTAATTCTGAACCCACAATGCATCACTTCTTGTTCTCGCTGCTAACTTCGTTCGTGCGCTAACAACAACTAAAAATTCACAAAAAATAAACTCACCTTAATTTAATGGATATTGCATACAGATAGTAGATTAAACATTCTTTGTTTAAATCTTCGCACTTTTTAAGCTTTGTTTATGGAAATGCAACTAACATACGACGTCATGTGACGCCACAGTCTAGACGTTCCAAATGTCTCGTGCGGTTTGAAGAGGCGGATCTTAAAATGAATTGAACAATGCTCTCGCCCCAACGGTCGCACCGTCAACATATTAAAACCTTGTCAATGTATAATATGGTGACTGAAGTTATTAAATCTAATATGAAAATAGAATAATCTCACAATGCAGAATAAGAGTTTAGGACTACACAAAAGGACGTCACGTGTAACTAAATACTGGGACACAGACAGTATATACGAAAGTTGAAACTTCCAAAACGATATGCGTTATGTAACTTTACCGTAAGCCTTTCTGTTGGTGTTATGGAGTAATTGCTTTTCCTCTGATCCCTTTTTACCAGAAGTGCTGATTATGGCGATAGCTATTATCAAGAGCAGAAGAGCTAGAATAGCCCCTGCTATAGCTATTCGGCTGAACTTTCGCTTTACTTTGAAACAAGCGATCTTTATTGTGTCCTCGTGTTTGTATTTCCTGGAGATAATAGATACACCCGGGTAAACCCCTGTGCCGAATTCCTCTTGTTCATTGTCTGAATGAAGGTAGGCATTTTCGGGATAAGCAACTTTGTCGTACTTCGATTCCATTGTTCAAAACTTGTTCGCAATTTATGTCATCGATTTTCCAAGATGCGTCACCACCGCGCCGGAAATTGAACAATGTCAGAGTAATTCGAACATGAGTCTAGTCGGATGATATCCGTTTTTATAATTTCAGATTTGTTTCTACATTCCAGTGATTCCACAACAATTTTTCTTATAATATACTATCATTTCATGTTTGACAGTTTCGACGACAACAATCATGACATTTCTGTGATAAAATACACTGAAAATAAATTTTATTTAAAATTTATTTTTAACTTTGATGGGGCAACATTCATAATTAATAATTTTTGTATTTGCTTTTATTGTAAGTTTTAGTGATAGCAGAGACATTTGTCTCTGCCGATAGCTACATAATAATTTGGCAGGAAAAAGAGGTTACACATAAAATTCTGGGAAATGGGTATCTTGTCAGCTGTTCATGTTGGTTGTTCATTAATTGTACAGCCTTTAAAAATCATTGATACTTACACATTCACAGATCTTTGTGTTTAAAACTGTAAATATTTTATTTTCCTTTTTAATATAGTTTTACACTCTATGCACACAGATATAAAATCAAAGTTTTTTTCGATTTTCTGTTAAAGTTAATGGAATTAATTTAAAAAATAACATTACAAGTATTATAATCTACATGTATATTTTATTATCATTCCATGAAAAGCACTTTTATTGTAAAACAAATCTGATTTGAACTGAAAACAATTAACAGGATATAGACAATAATTCATAACAATTCAATAGCTCATTCTTAAAAATCAACAGTTTAGTTAATAATTATTTAATATCACACATTTAGCTGATTCTTAACAAACCAATTAAAGCAATATCACGAGGTAATTATTTGTCCAAATTAATTAAGTAATGTTGACAAATCAGTTGAGTTAAAGACAAAATTTGCAGCGGTAACCACTGGAACAAATTTCCCATCCATTCCACATGGCAGTTCAATGTGACCCTTGTCTGTGGAGATTTTGACAATAAATGGCTGCAATGTTCCATCAGTGCAAGGTAAAATGGTGATTTTTTTGTCTGGATTTGCAGCAATGATAGCTGGAATATGTTCCATTCGAACATTAAATTCTGCTGGGGTAACCAACTTCTTGTCAGAGCTCTTTTGCTGTACTGAACTAATGGTTTGGAACTCATTGCAAACATCATGCTGATTGGTTACATTCTGAACCAACTCGTTGCAAACAACTTGCTGATTGGTTCCATTCTGAACCTGCTCAGGGGGTGCAGTTCCAACTTGAGTCACTGTACTTGCTACTGGCATCATAACACTTGGGTCAGGAGGGCTCAGAATCATAAAATCTTGACCGGTTTCCTTCATGACTGGAACATTTGCATTGACTGGGTTGGGATTTATGAACTGCCCAGGCTGCTGAGTTTGAGGATTCAAGTTGATGCCACCACTTGTTGTGGAAAGATCTATCACAGATGGACATCCATCAAAAACTTGTTGTGTCTGCAAACTTGGTGTGAGCTGAAGAGTACTCTCAGATTTCAGCTGCTGACCAGAGGGAGTTTTCTCAATCACTTTTGTAATCAGATAGTGCTCCACAAACATGGACGAGTTATTCACCACATCCCCGCTACTCTGTAACACAGGCAGAGCAGTGACTGTCTGCAATGAGTTATCCCCCTTCGGAGTGGTCTGCACGGCTGGTATTGACATTGGCTGAGCCTCCAGAGATTGGAGATTCGGTGCAGTATTCTGGAGTGAGTGGATGTCTTGCACTACTGGGAGATTAATTGGGATGACCGGAACGGGTGTTAATTGAACCACGTCCTTTACTGGTTGTTGTGAGGTGGCTTTCTTGATTTCGGTAAAGACTTGCTGCTGTTGGTTGGTATAATTGACATCTGTACTGGTTGGGACAGGTTGATGGGTGCTGTTATAAACACACATATTACAATTATCTGTGTCCTTCAGTTCATCTACAATCTCTGTAATGGCTGGTCTGTCTGCATAATCTGTGGGGGAAAAAAATCATCCTTCAATGAATGAAAGTTTTACAATTCTGAAAAATACAAGATTACTAAAATGAAACAAGAGGCCCATGGGCCACATCGCTCACCTGAGCACATTGGCTAGGCAAAAGCACAAATCAGTTCAGTATTGAAATGATTACTGGGGGGAGGGCCTTGAATTTTAAACTACCTGATGATGCTTCCATGTCATTATAACAATTGGCTTTATTGTACTTGAGAAGATTTTAAAAAAAATTCCCATATATGTAAAAATTTGATCCCCCATTGTGGCTCCTCCCTATCCCAGGGGTCATCATTTGAACAAACTTGAATCTACACTACCTGAGGATGCTTCCATATCAATATGACTAAACATAGCTTTTCTGTTCTTGAGAAGAAATATTTTTTCTATATGTTCTTATGTAAAACTTTTGATCCCCCATTGTGGCCCACCCTATCCCCTGGGGTCATGATTTGAACAAACTTGAATCTACACTACCTGAGGATGCTTCCATATAAATATGACTTATCATGGCTTTGCTGTTCTCGAGAAGAAGATTTTAAAAGATTTTTCCTATATATTTCTATGTAAAACTTTGATCCTCCATTGTGGCCCCGCCCTACCCCCGAGGGTCATGATTTGAACAAACTTGAATCTACACTACCTGAGGATGCTTCCATATAATTATGTATCATCATTGCTTTGCTGTTCTTGAGAAGAAGATTTTTAAAGATTTTTCCTATATATTTCTATGTAAAACTTTGATCCTCCATTGTGGCCCCGCCCTACCCCCAGGGGTCATGATTTGAACAAACTTGAATCTACACTACCTGAGGATGCTTCCACATCAATATGACTTATCATGGCTTTGCTGTTCTTGAGAAGAAGATTTTTAAAGATTTTTCCTATATATTTCTATGTAAAACTTTGATCCTCCATTGTGGCCCCGCCCTTCCCCCTGGGGTCATGATTTGAACAAATTTGAATCTACACTACCTGAGGATGCTTCCACATGTGTTTCGTCTTTCCTGGCCCTGTGGTTCTTGAGAAGAAGATTTTTAAAAGATGCTATTAATTTTTCTATAATTCTTTATTATCTCCCCTTGAAAGAGGGCGTGGCCCTTCATTTGAACAAACTTGAATCCCCTTCACCCAAGGATACTTTGTGGCAAGTTTGGTTAAAATTGGCCCAGTGGTTCTTGAGAAGAAGTCGAAAATGTTAAAAGTTTACAGATAGACGGACAGCTAGACAGACGGACGCCGGACAAAAAGTGATCAGAAAAGCTCACTTGAGCCTTCGGCTCAGGTGAGCTAATAAAAGTAAACTGGTCTGTCCCATTCCATTTTCATCAATGAATTACCTTTCCTATCAAATTATTAACTCTTGCACACCATGTCAAATCAAAAGTAAGTATCATAATTGTGATTTTTTAAAAAAAATTTCATTATATGCAAAACTTTTAAGATTATAAGCATGAAAAGTAAGCTTTATCAAAGTTACTGGTATGCATTTTATTAAGAACATTTTGACAAAATTTCAATTCTGATATTTTCCCTCATTAAAGATTCTTAGTCAAAATACAATGGACCTGATCATCTACACAGGAATTTAAATCAGGAACTGCAACTCGGTGCGAGATAGATATACTGTACTGGACAGTATGTTTTTTTTTTTATCAATATTACAAGTTACCTACAAGAAAAATCAATTCTCATTGCTGTCCTGCAGCCCATTATGAGCATGTCATTGTAGAAATTCACCCATTCTAAGTCATGATTTCAGATTGTTGATAAAAAAAAAAAAAGCATATGGTAAACAGGACACTTTATCTTACCGGTTGTGGTTGACTGACTTTGGTCACCCATTTCAAACAGTCCTAAGGTATCTAAAATGCCCTCGGTCTGCAAAATAAACATTTTGAATGTAAAATATACTAGTATCATAAATTTTTTATCAGTTATCAATTAAATTACTTTAAACATTCATTTTTTTTAAAAAAGCTGACATTTCAGATGCATTAACTATCTGTTAGTTGTAGGAGTCTTCTGACAGATGATTTCTTATTTTACAAGAATAAAATCTACAATACTTAGGTAAAACTAATTATTTCTTTCTTTAAAAATTAATTTTGATATCTTTGGTGATGGATTCTACTTCATTAATGATTAAATCATACAAGATTTGCATATGAGATGATGTGCCTTTCCTCTACTTCAATAGAATTTTTGTCTTACAAAAAAAAAAAAAAAAAAAAAAAAAAAAAAAAAAATCAAACAATGATGAATCAAGAAAACAAATTAAGAGTGCCAATTTTATCAAAGATAATCAAAAATTAAAGACAATCTAAATGACAATAGAAATCTATAAATTCAAAATATAAATGCCCATAACTTAAATATTCATGCCACCCTGAACTGCAAATGGATATATAAACACAAATAAATCCTTATAATTTGTTTGACCCCAACTGTTAAAGCTCAGGATGACATATATTGTTTTTGTTTGTTTGGATTTTGTAACTTTTATCATGGCAGTAAAATTAAAATTTCATAAGATCAATGCTTTATTTTCACCATGCATAATTCTTCCCTAATGAAAGTTCTGTCAGGTCAAAGTTGAAATTTGAGGTCAGATATCATATATGTCATGCATTTATCATATCTTTTGTCAAAGGCGCATTGTTTTGAAAGCAAATATGCTTTTTAAGCATGTAGTTTCAATCTTCATATCCTTAAAGATACAAATATTATAATAATTTTGATATATATTCTGAAATTTCCTCCTCTAAATTTATTTTTAAAATTAGTTTTTTTTTTGTATGGTAAAGTATACATAAAACACATTTAACCTTATTTTTCATGCATGAACTGCCATTTGTATATATCGAGAAATGCACTTTGTCCATATTGCAGTTTAACACCCATAAATTATGATAAATATAGGATTTTACATGTATAGGGCTATGGCCAAACTAAATGAATTTTTGGTTGTATTTCATGCAACTAAGTAGACTACAGCCCAGAAGAGAAAAAAAAAAACAAAAACAAACAAACAGCCAATGCACAAGAGCAGCAGCTCTAATTCAAGAGATAACAACATACCCTATATTGGGCAGACTGTTAAAGTTTTAAAGGAAGAAAAAAATCAATATTTAATCATGACAGTTAATCTAGCATTCTGAATCTAGCAAAAAGTAGTAAAGTAATTGTATTAAAATTTCTCTTTATGTTAAATTATTTCTACCATACTATTACATTATCATATCCATGCATCAATAGTATCATGTACTTTCTGTTTCAAATTATTTAAAACATAGGTTATCAGAGACTACAGAGCTCACCTCAATGAATGCTGTCTTTAAGTAAGGCAAAGTCCCACACTAAACTAATAATCTAGTAGTGTGCATCCCTCATTTATGCAATTTTGGTCTGATAGGGCTAGTAGTTATGCAATTTTGGTCTGATAGGGCTTGCAGTTACTTGGGAATGGACTTACTTAAAAACTTTAAACTAGTCACTCATCCAGATAATGCAAGTCATATCCAGCACCTGAAGCAAGTTTGAAAGTGTTTATCTTGTGATGCATCAACCATGCAAGTTTGGTTCAGATAGCCCTTATAATTTCTTGGTAATGGACCTGCTCCAAAATCATTAACCTGGTCACTCATCAGGAAAATGTAGGTCAGATCCAGCATCCAATGCAAGTCCAATAGTATGCATCATTAGATGTATCATTCATGCAAGTTTGGTCAATATAGTTACTTGGAAATGAGACTTGCTCCAAAAACTTTAATCTGGTCACTCATCCGGATAATGTAGGTCAGATCCAGCATCCAAAGCAATTCCAGTAGTGAGCATCACTAGACGTATCATCCATGCAAGTCTGGTCAATATAGGTCTTTTTGTTTCTTCGAAATGAGACCTGCTCCAAAAACTTTAATCTGGTCACTCATCCGGAAAATGTAGGTCAGATCCAGCATCTGAGGCAAGTCTAGTAGTGTGCATCCTTAAAAGTATCATTCATGAAAGCTTGGTCAGAATAGGGCTTAAAGTTACTTAGAAATGAGACCTACTCCAAAAACCTTAACCTGCTCCAAAAACTTTAACCTGCTCCAAAAACTTTAATCTGATAGTAATTATCCTTTAGCTGAAAATTGCAGCATCTGAAACCTTGACTGGTACAATGAAACATACTAGAAGCATCCTTCATGCGCCTCTGATTGATATAGGGCATAGCAGTTCTTGAAAAATCTGCTCCAAAAAATTTAACCTGGGAGGCCTACAATGATGCCGGTGTCGAGGGTATAAATAAGCTCCCCCAACTTCGTTGAGGTGAGCTAAAAAGTTATAAATTATTTTATATTTAAAGCCAGGATTTTTAAGCATTTGTTAAATTTGCAAATTTTGACAAAGAAACCTTTCAACTACAAGATTGTAGACATATACACAACTGTGATACTTACTTCTGAAATATTGTACTGAAACCTTCCATCTTCACCATAAATCGTCGCTGTTGTTTCATTTGAATGCTGTGTAAGACAATAAGCAAGATAAAATATAAATTTTACAAGACTTCTTCAGATTTTTATTGCATGTCAACTGAATTATCTATGGCATCCTATTCATAAGAATGACAAGTTATAACATAATGCAGATTGGAACATAATCCGAAGTTATTTCTAAATAATAAATATTACTCGGATAAATATCTAATCTCTTTCACAAAATTTTCCAAAAAAAACTATACATAAAAAAAATTGAAGCTAAATGGCCATGTTAGGAATAACATCAACTTTTGTGATCATTATTTATTTATACAAGATCAATGACTGACTAATTTTCAAAATAATTAATTCTAAAAGAGTTAATACTGCATGTACTAAGTTTGAAATGTCAATGTTTGACTGCAGAATGCCTCTTTAAACACTGAACAGAAAATAAGTTATGCCACTATTACAATACCTGTTCACCCTGTGATTTTTCGTGTTTGGATTTGTGAGTTTTTAGACTGTAGGAAGTGGAGAATGCCCGAGAACACCCATCCTCATGACAAGCATAAGGTTTCTCTCCTGAAACATAAAGTTGAAACACATAAGAATTCTTAAAAGTCATGTTAGTATACATACTCAAAAAAGAAACAGGTTTGGCCCTCATAATCAAATTGAAACTGCTGAGGAGGATATGGTGGGTATACAAAGTACTGGCCCCGGGATCATGAACATCGTAAGCTTAAGTCAAAAACTTTAATGTGTACTTCAATATTGTAGAAGTCAAGCATACTAAAATTAAAATATTTCTCAATATAACTTTACAAAAGTATTGTTATCTGCAAATACAGAGATTGAATCCATAATTAATAAACATTTTATAGGCGATTGAAAATTGACTTTGATGATCCTGGGGCCTGTTATTTAATAGCATCTATTTGTGTATACAAAATAGATGCCTTTTTTTTTACGAGAAAAGTATATTTGCAGGGACCTATATACTAGTATATAGGTCCCTTGTACGTTGGCTTTTAAGAGTCGGGCTTGGATGACACAGCAAGTGTCTATATAAAGGGTCGGGTTTGTTCTTCACATTCCTTTCTGCTGAACCTTTCAAAGGTAAAGACGCATAAAAAATGCTTGCAAAAAATACATCTAATTTTTGCTTTGTAATTTTAAAAAATCGCATAATTTTCCATTTATGTATTGTTTTTAACCATTTTAAAGCTTTTATTACTGTTGATGTTTATTAAATAAGGCGGATGATGTTGGATTCAAAGTTTTTACGCAGCAGACGACGCACACGCGGTTATGCCAAAAAATAATTAATTTACCATTGTATTGTTATTAAATGATCAAATATTGGTTATCAACATTAATTATTGTATTTTTGTTTCATACTGCGTCGAAATCGGAAAATGCAAACCCAGAATAGGGGAACAACAATATGGAAACTCGGTCGGACCTTTTTTGTGGACACAGTGAGGATGGGTCAAAATATAAGTCAAAGAAAAGAAAAGCAAATAATCTGTGAACCAGTTGGAAAACCAGACATTGAATATACGTATCATCACAATCCAATATATCAGGTACATCCAACACCTTTGAAATACATAAATCGGTGAACGTTTATACTTGATTAATCTTTGCCATTGTAGAATGAGACAAAAATATAAGCAATACTCTGCTTATACAGTGTATAGATATTGCTTCTAAAAATCCTTTCCTTAAAGTGTTACCTTTCAAGCTTAGAGTGCAGAATTTATTTCTAATTTTAAAGAAGGGGGGGGGGGGGGCTTACTAAAAAAAAAAAAAAAAAAAAAAACTATTAAGTTTCAAGCAAAAGTACTGGAAAGTCAAGCTGAAAACAAAATGTATATAAATATAACAGTCACTACCAGTAAATCCTACAAAATTATGTCACAATAAAATAATCTTTCAAAAATACATTCAAATCATATTTTATTTTTACCATAGAATTCTCTCAAAATAAGGACAAAAGACTTACACTTGCCTGGAATTGTTCAAAACTAAGGTCAAAATAATTCAATAGATTGTGCATAGATGCTATTGTTAGATGCACATTGTACAGCAGCCTTAACTTTGCCATTTGTCCGGTTATATTAGTAGAATGTTCTGGACCTATTATACATTTATATTAGGTTTCTATTTGTGAGAGGATTAAGTTTAGTTTTTGTGTAAATTCAGGTAGTATGTAATACAACAGATACAATGTTCTGTGTAATTGTAAAGTAGAACTTGGTGAATCTTTCAAATCCAACTATTAGGCACTACTTACAACAGGGCTCAGACTCAACAATGATTTGTTTGGAGAAACAATCAATTTATGAAAGCATCAGAACCAAAGAAAGCCCTAAAATTTTTGTTTCATGAAAGAATTTGTAATTAAAGTTAGAGCACTAGATTATAAAAATAAATAAATAAATAAAATCTGTAAGCAAACCACCTTATCATATCTCTAGTGTGTGATGAATTTAAATAAAAGAGAGAATGAAACTACCTTGCCCAGAGAAGAGTATTGTTATATTTATTTAAATGCTCCAGAGCTTTCCTGGAGTTCAGTGCTTTGTATTCATGAAATTTTAGAAAATGTTGTGAAAAGGAGGCTCTGATATATAGGTAAGTCCTAAGATCAGTTGCATATCATAAGTTGTTACAGATTTACACTCGAGTTGAGCTTCCAACTCAATATATATGACTTGAAACAGGGGGATCTTAATTGTGTGGGGTCTGGGAGCAGTAAACCTCTAGAAAAGGCCTTTCTCAAGTCTCGTATCTTTAGGTGCTCTTGTCAAGGATTCTATTTGCTAGCTATTAAATTGAAATGAAATGATCTTGTAATACAAAAAGGGGGGATTTATCATTGTTAAACCACATAAATTATCAATCTCATATTGATTAAGTTTGAATGAAAAGGAATATGCAAATATTTTTATATTAACATCCATTTTCTATTACTGGAATTAGGATATCTTTGTTATGATCCTGTAGAGTGCAAATGAAAGGTTGGAAATTGCAACATCTTCTACAAGAATGTTTTGAGATCACTTATTAATGAATACATGTATAGCTTAATGACCAATTATTAAATCAAAAAAGTAAATACAGTCAAACCTCATTGTATTGAACTTATTGGACAAGAAATAACTTTCAATTGAGATGTCGGATATTTGAGATGTCAATATTAGAATGCTTGAGGAGTAGGTGTCAATCTGAAGTAACCATTTTATTTAAGATATCAGTGTTCCAAATACCAAAGTTAATATTACAATTACTTCTGTAAAGCAATTAAAACTTATAGAACATTCATCAGATTGTATGTTGCAAAATGAATATAAAGTGAATATATGGTCTTATTTGAACTATAGTTGTCTTTAGACATCAGAAGTGACCCAAAGAAAAACTTTGTCAAGTACATGTACCTTAAATTCTTCATAATGTAGCAATTATTTCTCAGAAGAGTCCTAGAAGGATGCTTATATTTTGTAATTTTATACAGATAATGCTGATTGTTTGACTTCAGGCATTGGGCTTACATTTTAAGGTGTTTGGATCTGAAAACTCCTAACAGGGTGCTTATATTTTGTAATTTTGTACATGTATATAATGCTGATTCTAAGACTTCAGGATGTACATTTAGTTACATTTTAATGAGTTAGGTTTTGTTTTTAATCAGAACACCAGAAAAATATAATTTCCTTTTTGGATCAAGTCCATACTGATAGCAGTACTAGTTATATTCAGGCTCATTGCATATGAAAATATATCTCCAATTGGTGTCATTCGTAATCAAATATCTATACCTATAAGAATTTTATACTTTGCTATGCATTTTGAACTACACTGGAACAATATGGTCATGCAGAGCTGTATAGAGTTCTGATGCACATACATGTGTCACAGGCATTAATAATGTTTATTGAAAGACTCTTTATCAGAGGTAAAGGAATTAACACATAAATATGATTAGTTGAGTATACTAGTATTGCAAGCATCTGTAATAAAATTGCAGCCTAAAAATCGCAGGTTCAAATTAGCACTGTCAACGTGCCAGATATCTTCATTGCAGCTAAACTGGTTATTGGTAAGTATAAATTTGAATGAACTTGTTACATGTATCAGGTAATGTATCTCTTTTTAAAATATCAATATTATTATAATTAACAGTTCTACAACCATTGGTAACCATAACTAAGTAGTGTGATATATTCTTATAATTGTGTAATCTATATTTGGGTTGGGAATCTCCCGAGAAACTTGCATATTTAGGTATCGATAGGAATATAGTGAGATTCAACCTTGAAACTGGAGTTTTTGAAATGTGATTAAGGATTTCAAATAGCTCTGCTTAAAATTGCTAATTAGAGAGTGAATGTGTCACCCTCGGTGACATGAAACTTGGTTCATCAAATAGCAGCATATGCATTGGATTTCCTAGCAATTTTCATGGATTGAGAATTATGCTATATGTAATGATAATGAATGAAACTCCCCCTATTTGGTTATAAATCTCCAGATATTTGTTTTGATTAGTTACAACCATGTATATAAAACTTGTCTTGGCTAATAGACAATTCAAAACAAAATTAACAAGCAATGGTAAACTTTATGTAAATGCATTGCAAGGTGGCATATACATCTGTGAAGCAGGATATAGTAGGGAAGTTTCTTTCTACAAGACCAAAGCTTTATTAAGCATATAGGGAATAGATTTTCCTGTTATTTCCCGGTCATGACAAGAAGCACACGGCGGGTGTGACCGGTCGGCAGAGGATGCTCACTCCTCCATGGCACCTGATCCCACTTCTGTGTTTTAGAGGTCTGTGCACATGTTTGCTCTGCTCCACATATTTCATTGGCAAGTTTTGATTACTTAATGTGTTATAGCACCTTTCTTAATAGAGGAAAATTCAAAATTTATTTCCAGTCTGCTGAAAGATTAACACGTGTGTAAGTACCCAGCGGGAAGGGGGGTCTTGGGCAGTATTGGTCGTGGAACAGTTGACTTGTTTTTGCTTCCCCCAATGTGTGGGGTGACTGCAATCTGTGCCAGCTTGCAGCCATGTGGCGTCTGCACACACCAAGTCAACTGATAACTGAATATTTGTGTGAAACTTGTACTGAACTGTCACCTTGTTGATATGCTAATGCTAGTGTAAACTAAGCTAATAAGCTTACTCTTGGTGACAGTGATATATACTTTAGAGCTGTAATATATAGTACAACTTTGAAATATGAAAAAGTTTGATATTTGAAGTTTGAGATGTTTGATCTATCAAGTTTGAGATATTTGATATATTATGTACAAGATTTGATATATGAAGTTGATATGCTTGATATTTGAAGTTTGAGATATGACTTTGATTGGGAACAGTTTGTATGTTGATTTTGAACAGTTTGTATGTGTGCTGACCCTCCGCGGTAAACCCGGGACGGTTAGACTTTGAAACACACATGAAGTTTGAATTTGGTGGGATTGCCCAGTTGAAATGGCATCCCACAATGTTTGTATTTTCTTGTGCCACGGCCAATACTCGCCACAATAAATAAGTATAAATTCTATACTGAGTTTTGTGTCATTTTCTCTGTATAAATAATAGCATCTATTTGTGTATACAAAATAGATGCCTTTATTTTACGAGAAAAGTATATTTGCAGGGACCTATATACTAGTATATAGGTCCCTTGTACGTTGGCTTTTAAGAGTCGGGCTTGGATGACACAGCAAGTGTCTATATAAAGGGTCGGGTTTGTTCTTCACATTCCTTTCTGCTGAACCTTTCAAAGGTAAAGACGCATAAAAAATGCTTGCAAAAAATACATCTAATTTTTGCTTTGTAATTTTAACCCTCCCTCCCACCACCTTTATTAGAATTTTCTGTTTTCTAGTAAGGTAGGATTTTCTGCTGCTTGGTTTTTGCTTTATTTTGCAGTGAAACAGCTGTGATCTTGACGTCCGAGATGAATACCTTATACCTATACAGAAAACCATCCTGGTACTTTCTAAAGGAAAAGTGAGTGAAGAATTTGCCGCATCAAGTCCGTTGCCAGCTAAAACGTTTGTGCGGAATGTGCATTCAACTATCTCTGTGCAGTATGCTAACGTCAGAACGCAATAGTGTTGCAAACTCAGACCAAATTTACTAGCGTTTATAAACTGAATTGGTACCATACAATCTATTAAAGGATTGATAGTTTGAACTTTAAAGGTAATTGTCGTGGCACTTTCTGAAGGAGAACTCTTTAGAGTGAAGCGTCTGCGCACACCAAGTCAACTGATAACTGAATATTTGTGTGAAACTTGTACTGAACTGTCACCTTGTTGATATGCTAATGCTAGTGTAAACTAAGCTAATAAGCTTACTCTTGGTGACAGTGATATATACTTTAGAGCTGTAATATATAGTACAACTTTGAAATATGAAAAAGTTTGATATTTGAAGTTTGAGATGTTTGATCTATCAAGTTTGAGATATTTGATATATTATGTACAAGATTTGATATATGAAGTTGATATGCTTGATATTTGAAGTTTGAGATATGACTTTGATTGGGAACAGTTTGTATGTTGATTTTGAACAGTTTGTATGTGTGCTGACCCTCCGCGGTAAACCCGGGACGGTTAGACTTTGAAACACACATGAAGTTTGAATTTGGTGGGATTGCCCAGTTGAAATGGCATCCCACAATGTTTGTATTTTCTTGTGCCACGGCCAATACTCGCCACAATAAATAAGTATAAATTCTATACTGAGTTTTGTGTCATTTTCTCTGTATAAATAATATGTTTCTGACAGCTAATAAATATTGTACTCCTGATTTGTGTTATTAGCTGTAAATACAAAGCACTGATACAGAATAATGCTCCCAAAACAGGCATCAGTTCTAACATTTAGGTCAAATTTAACATCAAATTAGTAGTCAAAATATTGTTTCCCAATTAATCTTAACATGATATTGGAAGACAACAATTGTGATACACTGCCAAGAACAGAGATTTAACAATTTTTTGGTAAAATGACAAGGCCTTGTTTACTTAGGTTTAAATTATAAGTTCACCAGAGTTTTTTTTTTTGGTTCATTTACCAGCAAACAGTTATAAGGAAAGAGAGAAAGCCAAGGAAACCTTTGTGCTATTTAAAAATATCCTCTTGCTCATGATTTTGTACATGTGTAGATGATGCTGAGAATGGGTCTCATCATCAAAGAATGATAAATGTTTTTCATTGATAAGGTCAAAGTTCAAGACTTACTCAAATATAGTACAGGTACATGGACATTAACATCTCATTCTAAACATTAACCTGTGTGTGTCTATTGATTTGTCTTTCAATGATGACTTAAAGTTAAACACTAACCTGTGTGTGTCCAATGACGTGTCTTTAAGTTTAACACTAACCTGTGTGTGTCCATTGATGTGTCTCTAAATGATGATTTTAAGTTAAACTTTAACCTGTGTGTGTCAGTTGGTGTGTCTCTTAATGATGATTTTAAGTTAAACATTAACCTGTGTGTGTCCACTGATGTGTCTCTAAATTATGACTTTAAGATAAACACTAACCTGTGTGTGTCCGTTAACGTGTCTTTAAATGATGACTTTAAGATAAACACTAACCTGTGTGTGTCCGTTGATGTGTCTTTAAATGATGACTCAGCTAAACATAACCTGTGAGAGTCCGTTCATGTGTCTTTAAATGATAACTTTTAAGTTAAAGACTATCCTCTGATGTGTCTTTAAATGATGATTTTAAGTTAAACACTAACCTGTGTGTGTCCATTGAAGTGTCTTTAAATGATGACTCAGTTAAACATTAACCTGTGTGTGTCCATTGAAGTGTTTTTAAATGATAACTTTAAGTTAAACACTATCCTGTGTGTGTCCACTGATGTGTCTTTAAATGATGATTTTAAAATAAACACTAACCTGTGTGTGTCCGTTGATGTGTCTCTAAATGATGACTAAGTTAAACACTAACCTGTGTGTGTCCATTGATGTGTCTTAAAATGATGACACAGATAAACATAACCTGTGTGTGTCTGTTGATGTGTCTTTAAATGATGACTTTAAGTTAAACACTTACCTGTGTGTGTCCGTTGATGTGTCTTTAAATGATGACTAGCTGCAAATGCCTTCCCACATCCACTCTCATCACATCTACAAAACACAGTAGCAAAACCTAAACATGCCAAACTTGGCTCCTCAAAACACATTCATTTACTGCAGAAATGTACACCTAATATCTAATGTAAAAACCTGGCATATAGCCTCATGAAAAAAACATAGGTAATCAAAGATTACGAAGCTCACCTCGACGAATGTTATCTTTAAGTAATGCAAATTTCACTTCGTATTTTTTTTTATTTAGTGTACATCCCAAGATCAATGTCCAGGCAAGTTTGGTTTAAGTACGACTTAAAGTTACTTGGAAATAGACCTGTTCAAAAAACGTTTATCCTGTTTACTAATCAAGAAAATTTTGGTCAGTTCCAACATCCAAAGTAAGTCTTGAAGTTTTCATCCTTAGATGCACCATCTATGCAAGTTTAATCATAACAGGCCATAATGTTATATAGCTACTCCAAAAAAATTATCCTAGTCACTCATCTGGAAAATGTAGGTCAGATTCAGAATCCAAAGCAAGTCTGGAAGTGACCATCCCTAGCTACATCATCCATGCTAATTTGGTTTAAATATGGCTAAAATTCACTCATGTGGAAAATCTAGGTCGAATCCAGCATCCGAAGCAAGTGTGGTAGTGTCCATCCCTAGATGCATCATCCATGCAAATTTGTTCAAGGTAGAGCTAATAGTTACTTGGGAATGGACCTGCTCCTAAAACTTTAACCTGGTAACTTATCTGGAAAATCAAGTCAGATGCAGCATCCGAAGCAAGCGTGGTAGTGTCCATCCCTAGATGCATCATCCATGCAAGTTTGGTCCTGGTAGGGCCAATAGTTACTTGGGAATGGACCTGCTCCAAAAACTTTAACCTGGTCACTCATCTGGAAAATCTAGGTCAGATCCAGCATCCGAAGCAAGTGTGGTAGTGTCCATCTCTAGATCCATCATTCATGCAAGTTTGGTCCAGTTAGGGCTTATAGTTACTTGGGAATGGACCTGCTCCAAAAACTTTAATCTGGTCACTCATCTGGAAAATCTAGGTCAGATCCAGCATCCGAAGCAAGTGTGGTAGTGTCCATCCCTAGATGCATCATCCATGCAAGTTTGGTCCAGGTAGGGCTAATAGTTACTTGGAAATGGACCTGCTCAAAAAACTTTAACCTGGTCACTCAACTGGAAAATCTAGGTCAGATCCAGCATCCGAAGCAAGTGTGGTAGTGTCCATCTCTAGATCCATCATTCATGCAAGTTTGGTCCAGTTAGGGCTTATAGTTACTTGGGAATGGACCTGCTCCAAAAACTTTAACCAGGACACCGACGCTAATGCCGACGCCGGGGGTATAGCATAAGCTCATATCGACTTCGTCGAGGTGACCTAAAAAATCAAACTGCATTACCCTGATTTAAGCTTTTAACTCAAACTTAGTAACAAACTAAACATGCTAGTTTTTATTTAGCTCAACGTTAATATAACTTTTGCCAAATTATATAATTTGTTTATAATTATGTGGTACATTTTTTAAAAATTATATCAATTTCCAATCCCTTTATTTTGCTTATTTACTATTAATACATGATAATTTCAAATTACAGTATATTTTCTCAATTTATTCTACCAAAACGATGGCCAAAATGAAACTGCATCTTTAATAAGGCTGTATACAATGCAAACAGTTCTGTTGAAGTACCAATGGTGGCTTAATTATTAATAACAAAATTCATATAATTACAATTGCCATCCAGGATATAAAAAATAGAAATACAGTAAAACTTGTCTAATCTGGACACCACTAGTACTGCTTCAGATTAGACAACATTCTGGATTACATCACATTTCAAACAATTGAACTTACTTAGTAAAAGGGACTACTAAAAATTCATCGTAATACTGTAAAATCACTTTTTATTTGCGAGAACTTTGTCTTTATTTAATTATGTGAGACTACCTACCGGTACTCCCAAAAATTTCATTCTTGTGTATATATGCATCACTGATGAATAAATGTTTAATTGTAGATACCGTAAATCTGGAAATTTTTACGTCGATTTATTTTTGCGAATTTTGGTCAAAAAGCTGTTGATCAATTTTTACGCTTTAAAATTTTGCGAATTGTCACTGGCGCTAAAAATAAAAATCACTTAAGATTTTCATATCAGTTTATGTTTCAAATTAGTATGCACAGTTGGAATACCACCGATATACTCACAACGTGGCAAGAAATTGCAGAATCGCTCCGAAACAATTTTGAAGATAAAAATACAAAAGGATTTGCACTGAAAATAACTTCTAAATTAATTAAAACAAACCTTTTAGAGGTTGTGTATGCCTTTTAACCTAAAATATAATCCAAATAAAGACAAAAATATAACTAATTTTCTCAACCTTTGGTTTTTTTCTCACTTAAAATTTACACGCCGTGTTTACATTTGGAACTCTCTAGTAAATGCACTGAGTTCGAGTTATCGCCCGTGTTGATACATGGTTAGATAAAATAACTGGTCTCTCTTTCTTGCCAAAAGAATTAAAAAGGGACATACCGTCTCAGTGCTTGTCAAGCCATCGGACGATATTGCATATAATGAGGGCAATTTACACGCACGGGTAATTAGCTTGTAGTAACAGTAGTATAAAAACAGGTTTCTTTTTAAAAATGACCAGTGCTTACCGACGCCTATTCACGGAGTTAAAAATAGACACCAACTTTCAGAAAAAAAAAAAATCTTTACGTGTTGATTTATTTTTAGGAAAAATATTTTTGCGAATGCAAACCACGCGCAAATTTGCTAAAAATTTATCTACAGTAAAAATTTCCAGATTTACGGTATTACAATTAAAAGATTTTCACAAAAATTTTGTCTCACTTATAAATACCAAAATTAATAACTGTATCACAAAAATGAGGAGTCGTGAAAATTTGGTGAGCTACAGCAGCCAAGATTTTGGATTATACAACATCTGGGTTTGACAAGTTTCACTGTAACAGCCTTCAGTTCTACAGAAATAGAACAATTTTAGTATGCTATTCATAAAAGGTTCTCACTGATAAGGTTTTTCCCCTGTATGTGTCCGTATGTGTTTCCTTAAATCACTCAATGTGGTAAAAAATTTGGTACAACCGTCCTCGAGGCAATCAAATGTGTCCCCAGTGTGAATTCTCTGGTGAGCTCGTAGTCTGAAATTTTAAATAAAATTTAATATTGTAATTCTAGCTTTAAAACTATATAAGTTCAGAATGTATGAATTTCATTAAAGATACATGTATGTACCCAAATAACATGCAAAAAAAAAAATACATGTACATTTACAAATAAGGAGATGCAACAACAGGGATCAAAAGCTTCAGAATAAGCTTCGTGTCTGACATACAACTTGACTGAACTGGACTGAAAAACAGAACACCTACATATCCACTCTGTAACAAAGGACCTCCAACACTCAAATATAGAACAAGATGGTAAAGTTGACTCTGTAACATACAAATTATAACCTAAATTACAATCTCACCTGTACAAGGTGTTGAAGTTTTTGGCACATCCTTTGACCTCACATTCGTATGGTTTTTCTTTTGTGTGTACACGTACATGGATTTTCAAACTGTAGGAAGTTAAAAAGGCCTTGCCGCAGCCTGGTGACTCACAGGTAAAAGTGTATTCACCTAAAAAAAATATTCTATGCAGTTAGGCAATATACTAATAGATATAGCTGAGTCTAGTGGGTAAAGTAAATTAATGCAAACATGTAAAATATATAACAAAAAGAAGTATTTTTGTCTAGTAGACTTATCATACAAATCTATAATAATGATTGTAAAAGGGAAGCAAGGCTATACATGTAAAAGGCATGTAGTCAATGTTATGATATTCTAAATCTTTCATATTTTTCATACAGCTAAAAACTGTTCAATATATTTACAATCTATACTCAAAACTCCAATGGATGTAGCTGCAGAACTGTAGCTCTCTGGTTGAGAAAATTCGACAGACATACCTGGTTTGCCTGTAAGAATTTTCTCAAGCAGAGAGCTACAGTTCTGCAGCTATATGGTACTAAGCAGATGAGTCAGTGACTTCCCTTGGATATGACAGCATTCCATTGCAAGTTAACACCAGCATAAGCTGGTACCCATTTCAACTCGCAGGACTGAGAAAATGCAGATAAAGTGTCTTGTCAAAGGACAAAACATCAATTCTACAGAAGGATTTGAACCATGACCTTTTGGATACTGGCCAAATACCTATGACCACTGACCCATGTGCTCCACAATGTACACATAGTGTACACACACACATATATTTATAAGGAAAATTGTTTTTATATTTTGTTCCATTAATGCAATGAAATATAGTTAAATACATCTGGATAATGTATTAAAAAATTTCTTTGAGACAATAAAGTAAGAAAGGTAAAATAGTACATATGTAAATGAAAGTCATTTTTAGGATGAAACAAGATTTTTTTACTCCAGGGATAAAGTTTATTATCCAACAGGGATATGTATGGCTACTGATAATTTGACTGATATAAGTGTCATCAGTTTTGCCATACAACTTTAAAATTCAAAGGGTTGAGATCATAACCCCCTCCCTACTCAATCTGTCTATTTTCCAAATAAGAAGATGCTGTAATTTGTCTGCTGACCTTTATGTGTTTTCTGGTGTGTTCTCAGATTTCCAGCTGTGCTGTAAGTCCTAGTGCAGCCATTGTAATCACACTGAAATCTACCGTATAAAAGAAACATCCCACATATTCATCAGTTCATAATGTATATAATACATATCAAATATTTAATAAAAAAAATAATCTGTTACAGTAATATAAGTTTTAAGGCTGGATTCCAAAGAGTCATGTGAATTGAATATACATGTATTTCATCTGAATAGCTCTAATGGTCATTGTAAACAAAATGTGCTTCTTGAATTCATACATTTTCTACAACAAAAAATAACAAATCCTAATGCAAAAAGGATGTCCTCCCCTCCACTGAATGGAATTACTTGACTTACTGTCATTATAGTAACTAATGACAAAAAACTGATAACAAAACACCAGAAAACATTCAAAACAAGAATGTGTTGGTTTTTTTTTTGTTTTTAATTCACATTCATTTTACAGTTTTCCAGAAAAATTCTTAGTTTCCCCAATTTTAACAGACCTGGATGCTGCATCCCCAAAAAGTGGTGTGATTCCCAAAAAGTGGTGTGAAAGACCTTTAATGTGATGTAAATCCACTTTTTAATTAAAGTCTTTTTGTTCTGGTACATAGTGCAAGAATTAAAGCCATGGACAAAGTTATAGACTGACCCCTCCTCCCTCCCAAAATGACAAAATCTTTGGTATAGATATTGGACACAAAAATATAATCATATATAAAGATATACAAAAAAGCATTGTATTCTCTTTGAAATGAATTACATCATGTACAATGTACAGGCTGATTAAGACACACCATGCACATGATGCATGTGATAATGGTTGCATTGTTTTTGATTAAAGTACTTAAGTATAAAACCTCACTGATGCTAGTGTATATATGCATTTTGAAGCAAGCAAATATGCTGACACATGGTTATGTAATAATGGCCCAAATTATCTGTCTCTTTTTATGGAGGTTCCAACTTAGTCAATGTCACCAGTGAATGGTAATCACAGATCTATTAGAAATTTTATCACAAACCCCATACAATTCCTGAGCCTAAAAGCAATTCCTGTGTACTTACTGACCTTCTGACCTCTTTTTCTTTTGTTTTTGGGTCACAGCTTTCTACAGTGATGGTGGCATGTGAGGGGTTGAAATTAGCAGGAACACCCCTCATCCCTGGATAGATGCTCATCTCTATTCGATCATCAGATATGGTGTTGTGAATATATCGACTAAAAAAATGAAGAATGGTGATAGATTAATACACCGGTACATATAAATAAAAGAAAAACTTAAAATTATAATATTTTACTCATTTCTTGATGAAATATAGTGTCACATTAGAGAGTTTCTGCAATGTATCTAGCAGGGGATTCATCCCAGAAATTTGCTCATCATGTCATTACTTTGGCTATTAATGATGAAATTCTACATATATATCAACGAGCATGTATGTGTAGATTGTCAAGTACCCACAAAGTACAAACTTGTTGCTTATATTTTCTTAATTTTTTTTCATTTCAGTGTAAGTATGTGTTTTTCTAAAGCCTAAATATTTAGTGCAACTACTCATACATGTTTAAGAGAATGTAAAATATTTAGTCTTGACTTTCAAAACATGATTTAAAGAATCAAGATAATGAGCACACTTTTGTTAATTATTTGGTATAAACAGAATCGAAATGTGCATATATATTTAATTCAGATAGTGATGTTCAAAATAGATTTAAGTGAATTAGCTGAAAAATTTTTAAAGTATTTTGCATTTAAAATAGAAGCATTTACAAGTACACATAAACATTATGATTTCTGATTAAACAAGAAAAGGTATGTAAACGCATACATGTAATTCCTACTTGTAGTGTACACATACATGTACACGCTGGTTTGCTAAACCTCTCTATTAATAAATGTAGAGTCATATGAGGCATTATGCTAGATCTACATGACCAAAACAATCTTTTTGAACAGCTACTTTCTAACAAAAAGAAATATTTACTATGAAGTAAGATAGATTACAAATAAATTTATAGTACTATCAATAAGTTACAATAGATTCAATATTTGGCTGACCAAAGTTAACCTGTGGCATCTCCAAGTTGCAAGGACATAATTACCAGTAATATAACATTCACAGAGTTAATGTATACTAGGAACAATTCAGAGCATTCCAAAGTCAACATGGTGGTTAAATTTGAACCAATTAATATTTTCTTTTAAAATGTGCTATTTATCAGGTCCAGCACAATCTCTTGAGCTATATGGCTTGAATTAGCTATATGGCTTAATTAAGCTATTCAGAATAGCTTGATAAAGCTATTTATATGCATTTTTTCACAAAAGTGTTTTTTGTAAGAAATAGATACAAGAGGCCCATGGGCCACATTGCTCACCTGAGCACATTGGCTAGGCAAAAGCACAAATCAGTTCAGTATTGAAAAGGTTACCGGGGGGGGGGGGGGGGGGGGGGGGGGTGTGTTACCTGGTGATGCTTCCATGTCAATATAACAAATGGCTTTGTTGTACTTGAGTAAATTTTGAAAAAATTTTCGCATATAATCCTTTGTAAAAATTTGATCCCCCATTGTGTCTCTACCCTATCCCAGAGGTCAATGTTTGAACAAACTTGAATCTACACTACCTGAGGATGCTTCCATATCAATATGACTAAACATAGCTTTTCTGTTCTTGAGAAGAATTTTTTTTTCTGCATTATCTTATGTAAAACTTTCGATCCCCCATTGGGCCCCACCCTACCCCAGGGGTCATCATTTGAACCAATTATAATTTACACTATCTGAGGATGCTTCCATATCAAAATGACTAAACATGATTTTCAGTTTTTGAGAAGAGGATATTTTCCTATATGTTCCTATGTAAAATTTTTGACCCCCCATTGTGGCCCATCCCTATCCCCGGGGGTCATCATTTTAACAAACTTGAATCTACACTACCTGAGGATGCTTCCATATCAAAATGACTAATCATGGCTTTGCAGTTCTTCATCAGAAGATATTTTCCTATATATTTCTATTTAAGACTTTGATCCTCCATTGTGGCCCCACCCTACCCCAGGGGGTCATGATTTGAACAATCTTGAATTTACACTACCTGAGGATACTTCCACATAAATATGATCAATCAGGGCTTTGCTGTTCCTGAGAAGAAGATTTTTAAAATTTTTCCTATATATTTCTATGTAAAACTTTGATCCTCCATTGTGGCCCCGCCCTACCCCCAGGGGTCATGATTTGGACAAATTTGAATTTTTACTACCTGAGGATGCTTTCATATAAATATGACCAATCAGGGCTTTGCTGTTCTTGAAAAGAAGATTTTTTAAAGATATTTCCTATATATTTCTATGTAAAACTTTGATCCTCCATTGTGGCCCCACCCTACCCTGGGGGGTCTTGATTTGAACAAAATTGAATCTACACTACCTGAGGATGCTTTCATATAAATATGACCAATTAGGGCTTTGCTGTTCTTGAGAAGAAGATTTTTAAAGATTTTTCCTATATATTTCTATGTAAAACTTTGATCCTCCATTGTGGCCCCACCCTACCCCCGGGAGTCATGATTTGAACAAACTTGAATCTACACTACCTGAGCATGCTTCCATATAAATATGACTCATCATGGCTTTGCTGTTCTTGAGAAGAAGATTTTTAAAGGTTTTTCCTATATATTTCTATGTAAAACTTTGATCCTCCATTGTGGCCCCACCCTATCCCCGGGGGTCATGATTTGAACAAAATTGAATCTACACTACCTGAGGATGCTTCCACATGAGTTTCATCTTCCCTGGCTCTGTGGTTCTTGACAAGAAGATTTTTAAAAGATGCTATTAATTTTTCACTAATTCTTTATTATCTCCCCTTGAAAGAGGGCATGGCCCTTCATTTGAACAAACCTGAATCCCCTTCACCTAAGGATACTTTGTGGCAAGTTTGGTTGAAATTGGACCAGTGGTTCTTGAGAAGAAGATGAAAATGTGAAAAGTTTACGACAACAACGACGCCGACGACGACGACAGACAACGGACAAATTTTGATCAGAAAAGCTCACTTGAGCCTTTGGCTCAGGTGAGCTAAAAAAGACACAAGTATTTGACTATTCATATAAGTACTATGGACTATAAAAAAGCAACCCACATCAAAGATGGTTCTAACATTGCAGCATTTGAATACTTTAAAGGAAAAAGATGTAATTTCCATTGTTTGGATAACTCTACACCATCTTGTGTTCATTGAGGCATGGATAAGTATAATTGCTTCACATTATTACCAATCAATTATCTTGTTGACCATAATTGACCTCCTTTATAATTTCATTCAACAAGTAACTGTTAGGTCACAAATCAATTGCTTTATATAGTCCCAAAACATTTAGAACTTTGAGTTCAAAGTCTCTGAAGAAGACGCAATTTGATGAGCAATGTTTATATGCATTGTTTTCAGAAGAGTTCAAGTTTGAATACTATCAACGTGCTAAGATGCAACTTTTTGTACATGTTGAAAAAATAACACATTTAAGAAAGTGTGATAAAATAGCTAAATCAAACTATTCTGAATAGCTTAATAAAGCTATATAGCTAATTCAAGCTATATAGATAATAGACTTGATTAATTCTTCTACATAATATATTGTTGAGTTTGGGGGTGGAGGTTGGAAAATATATATACAAGCTGATTAAATTTGTGGGGTTTTTTTCAACGCAAGGTCATTAATTAATCTTATTTTATTTTTTTTCTCAAAATTGCACTGCAGCGGATCCACTCTGTTTTGCTACTTCAACTTCAACGTGGATACTCGCGAAAATCCAATAAGGACATTTACTAGCGAGGACTATGTATACAATGTGTAGGGAACATATTTTAACTGTAGTGAGGGCCTGTCCCACGAAACTATCCAATTATTCTAATTAGTGTCCATGCACTGCAGCAATTGCATTCTACAAGATATAGCACACCTTTCATCATCATCCACGTTCTTTCCCTGACAGGAGTCGGCATTCGAGTTGTCATTTCCAAAATGAGGACCATCATCAAACTTTGAACAAGTGGAGTTATCAATGTTACATTCATCATCGTTTCCATAGTCCATGTACACTTGTGTCACAGAACTAAAATCTTCTGCATCTACATCTAAAGTATTGTTGGTGTCCTCCATCTCTTCTGGAAGTCACTAGATCTGTCGAGATAAAAAAAAAATGCAGAAGTCCCAGGTCTCTTATTTTTCACTTTGACACACTTCTGTGTCCCATTTCTTACTCAGGAATGAAAATATTGTGACTAGGAAACTGAATCTTATTGGTCAAGCAGTTGTCAACAGACCAATAACAAAAGTTTTATCATCCTCTTTACGCTTAAAACCGGATATCCGGTTTGCAGAGGTATTATTATACCGTTCATTTTTGTGTCAAAATGAAATAGCCACATTGTATGCAAGAAGCATTAACAACAAATACCCGTGTATTTCTAATACTTTCTTTTAATTCATTTATTGTAAGAAAAAGTGTCTTAAAAACCCGAGTGGAACTGTACTGTAAAAAAAACATTGCACATAAATCATCAAGGTACGACTTATCAAATTTTCCTAACTTCCTTTTCTTTTACTGACGGTAACCAAAATGGTGAGGAAATTCAATAATATGAATTAAATCCATGTCATCCTGGACGTTTGCTGATACTTCAATAAAATAACTGCATAATAAGAAAGAAGAATTCATTGTTAATTATGAAAGGACATGATATTTTTTAGTTACCTATTGAAAATAAGTAGTTAATTGATTTAAAGAAGAAACGTGACAAGCAGGTGAAGAACTTTTTTTCACCGAACAAATTAAGTTACTATGTCAAGTGCACCGTAAATTCAGGAAGTGGGAAGACAAGATGATACTTTTTGCATGACGTTAAAGTATTCCGTAAGGAATAAATGCAGAGTACAGTTTCATGCTTTTAGATCTGCTTTGGAGAGAAGTGGGGGGGGGGGGGGTCTGATAAAAATATCTGTCAGATTATAAAAATAACAGTGTAAGAAAACAGAAGTTTTTCAAGACTCTGCTTACCATTAGTGTCCTTCTTTGTTAGGGTTATCGAGGACGCAGGAAGGTTTTAAAGCGCTTGACTGCACCAAAGTCATGGATGCTGGACAAACTGGGAGGTGTCTTTGTAAGTATAAATGGTACAGTGTTGTTTTTGTTTTTATCTTGAAGTGAAACCCTTGTTACCCTTTTAACTCTTTGATTTTCTAATTAAATCATTTTTAAATTACTTAACATAATATAGTGATTTTTTGTAGGCTCCAAGACCTAGCACTGGGCCCCATAAGCTGCGTGAATCACTACCCCTCATTGTGTTCTTGAGGAATCGTCTGAAGTATGCTCTGACATACGATGAGGTCAAGAAAATCACCATGCAGAGACTGATCAAAGTTGACGGCAAAGTGAGAACTGATAAGGACTACCCTACAGGATTTATGGGTAAGGATAGGGGCAGATGTTGTAGTTCAGATATAATTTTAGGGCACAATGTTAGCAAGTGATAAAGGCTCTATCGAAGCTCTGTCAGATTTCTGAAGAACTTGCAGAGTCAAAGTGTAGCCGAAATAGACTCAGCTCAAACGGTCGCATGCTTGGCTTCATGTTTAGTGTGCATTACCAATGGCTGATACAAAGAAAAAAAAATGACAAAGAATGAGAATATTGCACTTCAATGTCATTTTTTTTTTTTTTTGATGTAGCTATCCAATTGAAAATGAATGATTAATTTGCAATAGTAAAAATAGTGCTTATGTTTTGTTAAAATGTAATAGTTTGGGCTGTGGATTTCGGCCTGGGTAGCTCAGTTGGTAGAGTACTTGACTAGTGTTGCAGGGGTTCTGGGTTTGATTCCTGGTCCAGCCATACATTTTCTCCTCTCCTGTTACAAAACGTTGAATTAAAAGTGGTTTACTAATAGGGCTGGCACGATATTTGAGCCACGATACGATACGTATCACGATATGTTGAATTAATTATAAAAAAAATTTTGTACTGAAATGAACAAAAAATTTCTTCACAAATAAGAATAATTTATTCAAAGAAGTTGTATATCTGTTGTAAATCAAAATTATTTTACACAAGTGGTGTTTATTATTAGGTATTTCATATTTATATTTTGCGTAATTATTTTATATATTTAACCCATAATGTTAAGTAAACAAAGAAAAAAACATAAGTCAGATTTTTTGGGCGATATTTTGATATTTCTTCATACGTATCGATATGCGTATCATCCTCACATTGAATCGATATTATCAATGTCTCGATATATCGTCCCAACCCTATTTACTAAACAATTATGAACAAACCTCACAAAATTGCATAAGGCAGTGATGTAAAAAAAAAAAAAAAAAAAAAAAAAAAGGTAGATTTGCAGTTTATTAGTGATGCAGTTTCAAAAACTGGACTTGAAACATTGTAGATGTCATTTCCATTGAGAGGACAAATGAGAACTTCCGACTTCTGTATGATGTCAAAGGACGTTTTACTGTTCATCGCATCCAGAAAGAAGAGGCCAAGGTAAGAGGATTTTCTATGAAACAAAAACATATCCAGTTGATTACCGTAGAAATAGCTTTGTAGTCTGACTTGTAAAAGTATCAAGTTTTTCTAATACTCCTCTCCTTTACATTTTTTACTATCCATAATTGTGGCAAATTCTGTTAGAGAAACTGAAGTGAATTTATGGGAAATGAAAATCTTGGTTCCCTTGGAACTGATATTTAGGAAAAATTACAGTTCATTTATGAAAGATTTGCCACTTTCTCTCTTTGGGGGTAAAGGAAAGGAGGGCAGAGAAGAAGGTTCATAAATGTCTTTTTTTTTCAAATTGTAGTACAAGCTTTGCCGTGTCCGTCGTGTTGGAGTGGCCTCTAAGGGAGTTCCCTACATCACCACACATGATGGACGTACCATCCGCTACCCTGATCCACTCATCAAGGTCAATGACACAGTCATGTTGGATATTGCCACAGGGAAAATTAAGGATTTCATCAAGTTTGACTCTGGTAAGTAAATATGAGAGATAATACATTTTTTCCTAGGACATTTTTGTATGTGGTACAAGCACAATGATGCGTGAATTTCTTCACCTGAAATACTATGTGGAGCAAAAATATATACGAGCTTTTTAATTCTGAGTGTTGACCACATCATACCGAAGACTATCATTTTTGTATTGAAGTACAATAAATAAAATTTTTTCCAGTCATCACTGAACAGCAATGTCTACCTGATGACTGCATCTAATAGAAATTGACATATTTGAATTCTTGGCTTTGAGTAGTCCGAAATATCTGACGTTTCCAGTGATTTTTTTTGGGTCAAAATGCTACCGATATTCGGCTGTTTCCCCTCACAAAAATTAGCTATGTTTTCCCAATTATTAGTATAATTTTCCCAATTTCAAACATACGGATATTATGTTTTAATTTTGAACAAAAGTCGCTAAATTTGCTGACAGAGTAAATACATTTTTATTCTTCAATTTTGTTCTCCAAATCCATGCACATGCAGCCGATTTTTTAATGAATGTGTAAAACAATGTAGATATCCACATATAAGCTGATAAGTAGCCTATAATATCCTAAATAAATTGGTAAATAGTTCCCAGATACAAGTCATGTTGCATGTTGACATAATGTTTTTGGTTTGAATGCCATTATTACATAGAGGGTCAGGCTAATATCAGGAAATGGACAACACATAGGGTTTTACTAAAACCAGGAAAAACAAACTATAAAGACTGTAAATTTGATTATCAATATAAAACAGTTTACTATATTATGAGTCTAAATGCTGGTTATTTTCTTTTTTATTAAATTAGACAAAGTAATGTCAAGAAAATAGAAGCTACAAGGTGACTAATATAAGCCATATTCACATTCAATAAAATATTGATGTTAATTTTTTTAAATGATTATTTTATGAATTTTAATCAAATTCAAAGTTAAAATCAAACAAAAACTGTTGTTGTTACTTAGTTTGATTTTTTAATGTATTTTTTAGCATTCTAATTTACTATAAATGATTTTTCCCAATTTGAGGAAAATGTCGCTAATTTTTCCCAATTCAAAAGGAGGGGTAGTGGTTTAAAAAACAAAAAAAATCACTGGTTTCCTGGGCAATTTTCATGATTTTGATATTTGATGGCAGGAAAACGTTGGAACTGGCACCATTATGAAAGGTGGAAATTCACCCTAACTAGAGGCAGTATTCTCAGGTTGATTTTCAATAGATGCTAACTGAATTAAATGTCTAACTCATATCTTATCAACAGTACAATGCTTCTAGTACTTAACCAACATCGCTTTCATTGTTCCTTTGTAGTATAAAGTGTCTGGTGAAGACATTTTATCAAACTGTTGAGGTTTGTTTTGATTTTGTGTCTCTTGTGAGACCTGGATTGCAATGTGGAGAGATGTTTTCTTTTAAATGATATTGATGAGACCTAGAAGCATTGTGCTATTGATAAGTTGTGATTTTGATATTTGATTCAAATTGCAAGTGTCAAAAATTGAGTTCGTCTTGAAGCAGCGAAATTTCTACTTGTCAAAGTGGTGCCAATTCTGACATTTTCCTGGCAGGTCAAATATCAAAATCGTGAAGAACACCTGGAAAACATCAGATATTTCAGGCCAGGCTTTGAGCTGTAGCAAAGTACTTAGGGTGTTGATACAGGATACAATTTTGATACAGTTGACATGTGACTTTGGCCATAGAACAGTGATGTCAATAATATATTTTTGGTATATTACAGAGTACTGTACATGTATATTGAATTTATAGCTATTGCAATTCCATGTTTCTTACTTCTTAAGATACTACAGTGAAGTTGACAAATGTACTCTAAGTAGACATTCTTGTTCCTTTGCAGTACTTGCACTAAATGTGTCATTTATAAGAATAATTACAAATATGCATGTTAAGTATCGTCAACAATGCCTCATAAGTATGATCACTTATTTATGCAATTGCAACAGAATTTTCTATAGATGGCATAAATGTACTGGACAGCTAAATCTCTTAATGGTAGATACCATTGTCCGTGGCAAGCAGAAGTCAGTCCATGATGACAACTCAATGGTTTCGCATAAATTATCGATGAGAACTATGATTAACATCCTAGCTGTCTGAGAGTGACTTCTGTGTCAAAAACCTTCAATATATTGATTCTTAGGGTTATACATAGATTTAAATCCACAACTAACTGGTTTCCTTGATACTGAGATATGTTCCTATGGCTTTGCGAAATGACAAAAAGTATACTATGATTTATTGTATTTCAAATACATTGATGTGATCTTTTAAAGGAAACCTGTGTATGGT